AACGAACCCCCTCGTCTGTACGATCGTCCAGTGGCAAGCACATAAAACTACATTTTCTATTGCAAAATAGGCCTTATTGCAACTGCATAAGATACCAAAAGCTAAATATAGCTTGATAAGCTGTCAGTAGATAAAGTAGACAAAATCTAGGGCCATAGCTTGAGTTTAATATGCGATAAAGTTCGTGGTGGTTACAAAATACAGTTTAAGAAAAAACTAAAAGGATTTTTTTCTTCTGGCGACTGAAAGACTCATTTAAAGTGCAAGAACATTATAGATCTTGACAATATTCAAGGCTTATTAAATAAGCTAAATTTTAGCCCTCCCAATAATAAGCATTTGGCTATTTTGAAAGTAGCTTTGGAATTTGAAACTAATGCAGTCACCTTTGCTGAAAACCGACAGCATCTAACGACCACAAAACTGTTTCCAATACTAGCGCTCCGGTAGCACTTCAAAACACATCAACTAAGCATAAATTCAGTATAATATTGCTTTTCAAATTTTCACAAATGTATGTAGCGACTAAATATGGGTCTCTTATCAGCCCTGACCATTGCTCTCTCACCTTTATTCTAAATGATGAAATTAGTCAAATCCCTTAAAGCAATAATCCTCACGTCGTGTTCATAGTCCAGACTAAATCCAATTACGAGTCCCAGCTCTGAGGCTCCACGATCAAGGAACTAGAATTGAAGAACTGGAATTGCCGTAATTAAATTGGAACTGTTTTTATTTGTTTAGTTTTAAAACTGTCGTTTGAAGGATCAGTGAGTCTGAGATGACGAACGGAAAATAAATGGATTTATGTTCATTCCTCCTTTAGTGTTTCTCACACCAATTACGAGTACATATTAAGATATGAAAGTAAAATACTGGTGGAATTAGGCGGCTAACTCTTTAATAATGCGAACAGCAAGGACTGGAATTCGTTGTCCATACCTGCTCTATAAGTGCCTATTCACTCTCACTTTGAAGATGCCCGGATTATAGTGTTCGGGAAAGAGAGCTGCTGTCTTGATGTAATTGCATTTAAATACCTGCCTTGTTCTGCATAAAAAATACAATACCACTTCCAGTGTCCCTACAGCTGTGAACGGGCTCCACTAAATGCAGCGCCGACCCTCGCGTCGAGAGCCAGGACGTGACTATCGGCGCGGCTGCAACAATCTGCATCACAACCAAATTAGTGCCGAATCGGAAAATTAAACATTTTTGTGTATTTCTCCGTCTGTAATTTTTGCGGTGTTTCTCGAACTTTTCGTATTTGTGCTAAAACGGTTTGGTTTGATAAAAACTGTGTGATTACACAAATTATAAAGCTATCCATTAGGATACATTAGTACAGTTACACTTTTAACATTTATAAAACCCTTAAAATATAATAATTTCGCAAAAATCCATAAATTCAAATAAACGTAAGTATGTAGCTTTGGCATGAAAACATAACATAGGTAGGTAATTTACTATATTAAAACTTGATTTATGAATAAAACTCTTTATACATACGTTGATGGTCAAAGTAATCAATACTTTTAGAGGCGTCCATTACAGGAACATAACATCCTCCTGAACAAACATTCAAATCCTGAAATAGAATCCGCTACTCTTTACTTTGTACCTAAAAGTAAAAAAGTAAAATATAAAATGAATCTCTATAGTTATAATTTTGTGGTCCTACTTAAACTTATCAACACAAAAACTTGTAATGAAGTCACTTCACTGCCTAATTTTATAATGTCGCATAAATTACTTCCACTCCAAATCACAGCAACAATGTGTAGTTCTTGTTGCTTTAACAACACTCGAACACCCATCTAGCCGAGTGCAGTTTACGAAGTAATTAAGAGAGTTCACACTCTCGTTAATTGGATGACACTCGTCGCGGATTGATTGCGTCACGAAAAAGGTGTTGATAGGCAGTGAACGTCACCTAAGGCTTGTTTCACACGTACCACAACCACACCACACCGGAAAAGTGGTCAAGTTGTGGTTACGTACGAGTCGGTACGAGTGAAGTGTCTTACGCGGTCGATAGTGACGGCTAATGTGGTTCGGGTGAATTTAACTACACTAAGCTGGACGTCAAAGTAAAACTGTCGGTTAGAAAATCTTGAATATCTTCAGTGCCTGCTTTTACCTAGCTTTATGAAATAACTATTAAAGACTAAATTAATTCAAGCTTTTTATTTTTAGTAAATGTAAAGTAAATAAAAATGTATCGTTTTCCCAGTATGTTTTGCTTCATAACGCTAGGTCTAACCAACCCTTTTTCTTTGCGGTCCAGTGTATTTTAATACGAATTAGCGCCCGCCCACGTGTTATGGTGTGTTTGTGGATGGTACGTGTGAAACAAGCCTAAGAAGTGTTAATAGGCACCATGGCTATTGAATATTGATGGGGGTTTTGTCTGACGGTTGCCGCTCAGCCGTGGTTTCACGCCGTTTTAGAATTCCATAGCGTATGAACCGCTGTTCGCTGAACAAGATTTTTCAATGATTGATTCTGGGCTCGCTTTCTATTGAATTCGTTTGTGAATGCAAACGAAATCTTACTTTATTTTTATTATTTAGTTGAATAACACCAGATTTTTCTATCCATAATTCTGTTCGCCATTTTTACGTTTTTCTTCGTTATTTATTAAGATTTTGGGTAGAATTACTAAGTTTCTAAAGTACAATTTGAGACATACACTTTGTATGTGCCTAGTATTCAATAGAAGGACGTCCTTTGCAACATGCATGCATGTCCTAGACAACTAAAAGAGTTGAGTAGTTTTTCAATTTTACTTCTTGCGGCAGCTGCGCTTCCAGGATTTTTCAAAGTTAATACTCGTGTACTAAGAGTTTTACAAGGAGTTACGCCTTTTTAGTCTAGTCTTGGATAGAGACTTGAACCCTCTCGACCCTAGCTCCTAGACTCGATTTTAGGGTAGGAAGAGTGTGGCACGCTATGTAATAAAACTCTAGTTATAAATGTTAGTTGGTTAAAAACTTAAAACGTGCCTGGTTTGAATAAAAATAGGTTTGGATTGAAAAAAACATTTATGTCGTGTACCTACAGTGCTCCAGAAAAATAATGGGGGCCAGTGTTGAGAAGAAGCAGTGCTAGAAAGCCAGTCACTATTAGATATTAGCCTTTCTTTTTTAAGGATCAAGTTAATTTACTGGTGTTTTGTCCCATGTGATTCGCGTTAGCAATTAAACCTCGCTTTAGCTGAAAACTTCAGTCGCCAAAACTAAGATAGTAAAACCAGAGATACAAGATTATTACGTCCGAAATTATCTGTCTAAGCCGTAACAGCGTCCAGTCGAGTCCTCAGGGAACCACAGAACTCGCAACTGCTCAAAGCCAATAGCAGCTGTGCACCTTGATATAAACTAGAGAATTAATTAGTCTATGTGAGCTCCGAGACTTTGATAATAAACTTATGTGAGTGGATAATTGAATTATTATATTTCTCCTACATTTTATGAGGATAACTAACGTAACTGAGCGGGCTCAATGAATAAGTAAGTACAATAAGATATTACAAATTATAAAATGCAAAACTAGTAAAAAAGTGGAATTCATATTATTTCAATTTCGTAACAATGTATAATGGTATTATTACACTATTTAATGTTTATTTTCCACCTCATTGACATTTCAACAGCGTCGTATTTAAATGTTAACAGCTGACATTAACGATACCAACCCAAATGAACTCATTTGAATAATATGTTGATGCAAAAGTAAATAAAACGTCACCATCAAACAGGCCGAAATTAATTTCCCGCGGAAAAGTTTACGTATCGGACTCGTCCCTCCCTCGCATTTGAAATTCAGCTACAATGAAACGCTTTTAAATCCATTAAGCAGTAGTTACTCCCGTCAAGGGTCCGTTCGACAGGACGCGACGTCTGCGACTCCGCACGGAACTTGATCATTAGTGTGCTCACTCAATCCGAAAGCGATTTCATCCTGAAGATTCCGCCTCTTTGAAACTGGCGCAATATTGTCGAAAGCAGGAAAACTCTTTACGGGAAAAAAAATATTGCCCAAGTCGCAGCGGGCAAAATGAGAACGAAACGCCAGGAGCCAATCGAGCGAACGAGCTCGGCGGCAATATACTCCCGAGTTTACGTTATCGATGACATAGCTACTGAATACTCTTGAGCAGCAACGACCGCCACCGCCCGCGGCCGTAAACTCAGCAGAACAACTTCGTTACAACTCCGCTCTGTTTTGTTTCTGGCCCGCAATATTAGTTTTAGTCAAAAAGCTATTTTTCAACCCGCCGTCGAAAGGCTTGTAAAGTTTTCTAATTTAGTTAATTCGTACTCAGCGTTTCGTGAAGCCCTCGCTCTGGATTTGAAGATAGCGGTGAAATATTGCTACGTGAATTTCTTGGCGATTGTAAAGATAACATCGATGCAAATGGTGCGGCGCTCCTGTAGGCGTCGGTTCCGCTTTGTTATTGATGTAATTTCTGGGGTCTGGTGGAGCTGGAAATACATTTTAGGAATTAAATTACTCAGAAGCTTATTGTTATTATTAAATTGATGGAGTTTGCCGTACAATTAAATTGTTTTCATAACAATTAAGATATGATTTATTATTATTTTTTCATCAGTCATCTCAGTTTCGTACTTCCAACACTAAATTGCACATATTACATAACAAATGTATAATTCTATACATACTATAGATTTCTATCGCTAAAGCTTTCAAAGCGTTGCGCGCACCATTAAACTGATAAAATCGACATGACACAAAAAATGTTTGAGTAAAAAACCTACATTTAATCGATTCTATTCTCCTTTCTAAAAAACTAAGGCTGGGCACCATCTTACTTTAACAAACGTCAAAATTCTGTCCAACTCGATACAAAACATACAGGTTACTTATCGTTATAGTTACGGTTAAAGCTAGGTGGTGCAGAACACCCTAAGCTTACGGTTTATCTGTTAAATTACATCGATTTTAGTAATATTGAGTGGAGTTTTCCTTGTCTGCAGGTCCTCATGTTCCCTGAGGAGGGCTGGGCGCGGAGTGCCTCCTCCTCGTACTGGACGCTGCAGCCGTGCTGGTGGCGGCGCACCAGGTGCAAGGTCGTGGAGGTGGCTGGCACTAGGAGGTAAGACCAACCACAGACATGAATGTCAGGTTCTTCTTCGTCGCTACACTCTTGCCAGAGTGGTCGTGGTCGTCACACCAAGTCCGGTGACAAGCCTCACAATCCAAAGCCATTCCTCCCGCACTGCAGCCTTTCTTGTGCACTCGTGGAGTGGACAAGAAAGGCTGCCGTGCGGGATATGCCATACCTAACATTCATGACTGGTCAGTCCAGTCATGACTGTTAGGTAGAGATGGTTAACAAGAGGCTACAATAGCTCAACGGTGTCATTGTCAGCTTAGACTTGTGATCTGAGACACGCTGGTTCCAACCCCGTGCGCCCCGGACTATTGTGGGGTTCACCGGTTCACTCGTAGGTATTTAGGTTACCACTGAGGGATAATACTTTTTTAAAAACTGAGATTTTAACACTGTAACGCATCACCAAAATGCACTGAGCAAGTGTATTCAAGCTGTAATTACTCGTATACTGATGAACAATTTGATGATTTTACTTGACTCTATGAAAGTTTTTTCACGAAATACATTAATAACGAATGGATTGCGTGAGAATAAATATTTTCAGGCACTGGATTAATAATTTAAAAATAAAATCTAATCGATATTTTTAGGGAAAACACCCATTAAATTTTAGTTTTTAAGTCATTTTAAGTTAATGTAATGTATTGTACAATTTAAATAATTATATATTTCAATAAATTTAGTCACCCATCCCTAATTGTCAGATGTTATTTTGTGGACTCAATCAACGAAACAGTGAATATACACTGCGCTGGAGCCACGTCCCTTCGATGTAATCCCTACGCTTGAACATTACAGAAAGAAAACAGCCCGAATAAAAAACATTCTTCAGAAGCATTATCCTCACAAAATGTAGCGAAGAGAAAATGTTGTTTGTTCGTAAATTGATTAAGTATCTACTTAGCACCCATTTATATTAATTAGTTCCAAGATTACAACGTACTTTTATGACATCCATTTATTTAAGGAGCACCAGCCATATTCCTGCTGAACGTCTGAGAGGAAGCTGTTTATCTTGTCTGTTGCACATAAACGTGTTTTTCGCAATTAACTGGCTCGCTCAGGTGAGCTGAGCGGTTGTTCAGTCTGTTTGACAAACGGCCGGAAGTTGCCGGGGGCGCCACTATCGTCGCTGCGCCGCCGCACGAAACAGTGAAAAGTGGCGGGGACGTGACGCAAATAAATATGGCGGCAAAGGCTTAACTCCCGCTCGGACGAATGACATGTTGATATGCACAGCTTAACTGTTTATGGCAGTTGAATTCTCATTGAAATTAAATGGCATAAAGGGACTCTCTTTATTTTACGGTTCGATCAATCTCTATGAATTTATAGGTAGGTACTGAAATTGTAACTTAAGTTGCGTTAGGTCTTTGACGAGGATTAACAAGAAATTAAATTCTAGTCAAATAGTTTTCCAAAGCTTTTGTTTTGTATAGTGAATTCTATCAGCAAAATAGCTATGGAAGAATTTCTGAAATGTAAGGCACTACCTTGAGAGCCATTACAACACAATGCTCAGCAATATTAGTTACCTAAATTCTTTCTAAAGCATTTAACCTACAATTAAAACTATCCAGTACAATTCCAAAAAGATTTTTCCGCGCTGGGAATCCCCGCACCTAGGCCAGGGGCTAAGCGGCAATCGTTAACTTTAACGATTATAGCTGCCCGCCTCACTATTTTTCCCTAAACGACTCTTATTTCATGATAACACTAGCTGACTAGATCTGCTGTTCCCGTTAACTGTTCATTGTCCCATGACTGGGCCTCCGTTTAAAACTATTCGCCGGTTCGCACGTTTTAAGTTCGGTGCTTGTAGATTCGCGAAACGTTGTGAGGAGCGATACCGCGGTGGAAAGTAGTGCGGAAGTGCGCATAAAGGTTTTTAATTTGTTCGTGCGAAATTCCCGGAGGATGTTTGGGCTATTACAGGGCGGGCTGCCATTACTTCGACCGTTAGGGCCGCGATGTACGTGTCGGATTCGCGCCCTACTAACTGGCAGACGTGATCGGCCTGGTGATTGGCCTATCTTCGCGCACGCGGGCGCCCATCGGTGGGACGTGGGACCACATCACTGTTTTGCTAAATCTTCGCTTTTGCCCTTGAAATTATTGCACAATAATTCGTCACGCATTCAAATCGGTTGTATTTTTTTTAAATTCCTGCAATGATGCAGCGCATTACTTAGCGGATCTACTTTGTCTACTAAGCTATGTAAATCAATGAAAATTTTAGATAGTATCTACGTCTAGCATGAAAGAATCTTGCCTATTTTACTCGTGTTTTGCTAAATAACAAGTTAAGCATGTATATGATGACATACCTAGTTCATTAGTCTAAAAAGTGGTAATTTAAAAGGGGTAACTCAACCTACACCTATCAACCTACACCTATCAACCTACACCTACGGGATCCTCTACGACATTACCTAAGTACTCAAATAAGTCAGCAGGTGACGTCTAATCCTTGAGGTATGTTAGTACTCGTATACGTATAGCAGTACCGAGGCGTTAAAGCTAGCATAAATCACCGTTAGGTAGGTACTAATTCCTTGCTAAGCGTGACATAAGTCACCGCTTCTTAACATTAACGTGCTATTACTGTGTTGTTGTAAGAAAATGGAAGTCTTGAAAATCATTATTTACATGCCATTTTGGAGTCGATACAACATTTTTTTTTTAAATTATTCAGTGTTTTAGTTAAAACATTTTGGCCTCACCTCTATTAGTCTACTATTAATTAATTAGTAATTTGTGCAATACAAATTACTAGTAATAAAAAAAAGTCTACTCAAAATGACGCAACTTGGTCCACAAGTACAGATTATATTATATTTAACAATAACCTTAAACAATTCTTGTAGTTCTGTAATAATTCAATAATGTAAAATAGGGTAACCAACCATATACACAATACCAATAAAACTAATATTCACAGTGAGCTGAAATTAGTACTCCATAGATTATAGCTAAGCTTGATAGGTATTATCTTTTACTTGCTGCGTGTAGACTGTACAATCAATTTGTTGTAGTAAAACAAACACTAATATCGTTTCCATACGTAATATCTATATTGAAAAACAACCAATATAATTAATTAATAGTCTGAAATTCCCTAAATTTTAATACCACCAACCAGCCTTCAGGCTTCAGGCATATTTTTGAGCATCGTTACATAACACGGCCTATATGGACAGCAGTCCCAAGGTGCCAAGGCTGGCATAAATCACGGTTGTCACCTGCGTATTACTACGCCACGGAGGTGGCGTTTACCGCTAATTTCCCGCAGAGGGCGCCACTATCTGTCTTCTGCTTTCCGCCAAAGACCCTTAATAAGGACACAAGGCTTACTGACTCTATTTGGGACAGTTCCATTTATGAAAAATCTTCAAAGAATTTCAATATAAAATCTCTGCACCTTCGGGCACTTTCTAATTCAGTTAGGTTCGAGTACTTATAAGTTATTATAACAAATTTATAAGAGCGTCAATACTATGAAATCTAGATATTCGTATAGAACTCACACTAATGAACGACTTTATAGAAGCTATAATATAATTCATGGGCAATAAATCCCTTAAACCCAATATCGAAACTTTTACACTTCCTATAGCAGTATTAAGAGTTCAGAATAACTGCATTTTATAGGCCATTCCCTGTAAATAAAGTTCCAAAGTTTATGAGATTTACAAGTTTTGAAGTGTTTGAGTTTTATCAAGGATATTTTTCACATAAGCCAGTAGCGGCCAAGTTTTGTGATTTGTCTAGATATCTCCATTCTCCGAATTAGTTCAGGCTTTTAAATTTCTAAAACTACAAAGTCCGTTTCACTTTATTTTGATTTAGCTACATTGGACCGCAAAGAAAAGGTGTCCGGTTAGAAAATATATATTATCCTCCAAAGTTTAGCTTTATGAAACAAAACATACAGGAAAACTACGCATTTTTATTTAATATTTTACATTTTACATTATTAGGAATGAAAAGCTTAAATTAATTTAGTCTTTATTTCAGGCCAACACTTTTTCTTTCCTGAATAATACATCTCCCAGTAAGCTTTAAGTGGCTTTTATGTTATATTTTTTCAAAACCTCATTTTCCTTATTGTTTATAACCACGTTTATGCTTATTTCCATCGTGGACTATGCTTAAGCCGTAAAAACGTAATCCGATGAGATTGTTTTTACAATCCAAACAAGGGTACGGCGCGAAAATTCTTTTAATCCCGACCTGTTAAGGATTATTGTTCCATTAATAGCTTGAGCACTTGCAAAATAACTACAAAGCGAATTATTTGTTTTTATTTGGAAAATATCGTATGGTTTTGGGTGTTCAGATAATAAATAGCTTATGAGGCTTTTGATATATTTTTGGGATGGAAAATAACTGAAAAGTGAGCTATTTGACAATGTAGCGTACAGTTTTCGTTTTCCACGCGAGTTACAAACGTTGTCTAACTAAAGGCGCAGATCTATAGTTTCTTTTACCATTCTAATAAATCAAATTTTAACGAATATGTAGTCAATTTATAAAAGATTAGGTAACGTTATGTCCAGATTTTTATAAATATAAAATTGTATTTTTTTACATAATGGTTTTGTTTCAGACATAGCACTCAGGCAAGGATGGTGGTGAGCGGCGGCAACGCGGTGTACATTGTTGGCACTTTTAAGCACCTTGGGACTGATGCCGATTTTAAGGTAACATACCTGCAATAAAATAACGCATTAAAAGCTATACAGTAAATCTGACCAATAGATTAAAAGTTTCTATCTTGTACGAGTTATTTCCTAAACCTAACTTATCGTTGTGTCCATTTACGAAATTAAAAAGTTATTATGTACGAGAAAAGACAGCTCTACATATTGTGAATTGCAAATTGATTGAAATGTCGTGTTTAAAAAACCACGGGCATGTTTAAAATAAACGCTTGTACCTAATATTATTAGTATTGTGAACGTCGATTTTGTTAACAATAATATGGGCCACTGTAACATGGGGTGTGGTGTGGAGCTTATTAGCTCTTAGACAATGCGTAACTTAGAACCTGTGTTTTAATGATAACAATCATTGGTTTGAAAGCAAGTACTATCCAGGAGTAAAATTAATATGATCAGCAAGAGCAACTTGTACGGTAGAATAGTGAACCACATTTCCCTTCACATGTCTATTACCACAAAATATTAGTACTTACTTGCTTTGAAATTTAATAAGTATGTTTAAGTGAAATGATGTAACATTTATTGTGAGGTCACAGAGTAAATATTTGCAGCAACGTGAGCTGTTATCCTACCGCGGACGTGCATTTCCAATGCGGTTTATACCTATTGCCCCAATTGGTGGTTTCTGATTATACAATTAGAGTGTTTGTTATTGAATCCCTCTCTGTAGTAAACTGAAATATTTACCTGCGATGGGTATTGTTTATTGCTATAACTGAAAATAATCAAATCAAATTGTCTATTTGTATGTGACAACAACCGGGTTGCTTTTAGGTTCAGCCAATAATCCTATTTCTAACATAAAACAGATGCTATCTTTACTATGTGATCCTAGCTATGCGATTAATACTCCTATGTGTGATTAGTCTGTAGATTGTCTCTAAAAGTAAATATCATGAAATAATAATTACACACGGTGCTGCTCGCCAGTCCTGTTATTTAAACTTGGATGGACACGCTACCGCGTAGATTTGGGTCACTTGGAAAAATTCTATTTAGAAAAGAAACATTAAGTGAAATTTTATATGCAACTTACAATAATTTACCCTGGATATTTCATTTGTCATGTAACCTATTCCACATCACACGGTTGGTAGCGGCCTGCATCCAGCGCCTTCCGCTACCTTTATTAGGTCGTCGGTCCACCTTGTGGGCGGACGTAGCCAGTGGCGGATTAACGTATAAGCACTACAAGCACGTGCTTGGGGCCCCTGTTCTCCAGGCGTTTCATTTCATACTTACATTTTATCGAGATTTAGCCTATGTTACTCGTGAGTAATGTACCTAGCTTTCAAATGGTGAAAGAATTTTTAAAAACGGTCCAGTAGTTTTTGAGCCTATTCATTACAACCAAACAAAGTTTTCCTCTTTATAATATTAGTATAGATAAAGTAAAGTGCGTTTTCCCAAATATAAGTGGCGTTTAAAGAAAGAAAGAAAAATTTATTACGATGAACATCACTTATGTCATGACAGAGAATGTATACAGAAAAAAAGACAGAAATGGCACATAAATATTACAAGGAAATAAAAAGTGAACTGAGCAGTGAGCGAGCAGTGCTATCCTGTATACAATAATTATGTTTCAATATTCAACAAATGTTTGCACATTATTATTATTGTTATAATATAACAATAATAATAATGTGCAAACATTTGTTGAATAAACATAATTATTGTAAATTAAAGATGCTACATAATAAAATAATACCCGTATTAAAATAATAATAATTGTGTATATGTGTAATATTTGTAAATGTATACAGGGTGTCCTTTTTTTAAATGCCTATTATTTTGACAATATGACACATAGATTTTTTTGATAACCAGCATAACTTGCCTCAACACCCAGTTTCGGATTGGCGTTGCATTACGGGACACCCTGTATATTAAAATAAACATGCGATGTGAAAAAAGAAGAGAAACAAAAGAAGTGTGCTAGCGTAAGACTATCATTGTGGTTGCGTTTAGAATCTTTCACAGCTTAATGATTACTAATTGCTCTGCTGAACGATCCTTCTCACAACTAAAAAGGTTAAAAAACCCGCAATGAACAAAAATCCGTCCAGACAAGCTTAATTCTTTAGCATTAATGTGTATTGAGGCAGACATAGTTCGTCGGATAAATTTCGACGATGTAATCTCGGAGTTTGCTCTGATTAAGCCAAGGAAAATAATGTTTTAAGTTTTAAATTTTACCTACTACACTTTCTATTTTGATGAACTTTCATTTTATACTTTATACCTTCCATTCCATTCCTTCCATTTCCATTTAAGCAATAGAGGGCCTACACAGGCTCTGTGCTTAAGGCCTCGGATACTCTTAATCCGCCACTGGACGTAGCACGCTGCGTCATTGGGGGAGGCCTATGTTCAGCAGTGGACGTCCTGTGGCTGAAATGATGATGATGACGACGATGTAACCTATTTTGGTGTTTGCCAACAGTTATACCTGACCACGAACGTGACGCAGGCGGACTTCAACATGGGGTACACCATGACGGGCACCCTCGAGCGCGGCAGTCGCTCAACCAACACCTTCCAGATGACGCACTTCGCGGTGCTGCGACGCTGCGACCATGAGAGCCACCACCTCAAGAACTCCTAAAACAAATGAACATTCTAATTTTTTTTTCTGAAATTTTTTTTTTTCTGATGGCATTCCTCCTCGCATGGCATTCCTCGTTTTACCTCTCTTATTCACTCTTTATTTTACTTGCACAGCCTATGTGTTATGTCTGTTCTTTGTGCCAAATAAGGCCATTCAAAGTCCTCTGCCGCTACGACCACGAGAGTACTTAGCTCTCAAATGAACATTCTTCATCCTTACTTTTTTTCTGGCATTCCTTGGTAGTAGGTAAACCTCTCTTTTGCGTTTTGTGCCATATAGGTGATATAGGGCCTCTTGACCCTGGTATACATCATGACTTCAACATGGGGTACACCATGACGGGCACCCTCCATCGGGAACATGAGAGCCACCACCTCAAGAACTCCTAAAAAGTCGAAAGAATATTAAGTTACCTTTGTTATAATTCGCAAGAACTAAAAAGTCAAATCTTTTTGGTGACTTTATAGGTACTTACTCTACTTTGCCTCTATATCCTTGATTTATACCAGATGAGGCACTTCGCGGCACAAATATGTACTTAATTTGGTTTAAAAAATACATTAAACAAAGGAGTATAATATTTTGGTCTCATCGTTTGGCTATGAATTACTATGACAAAAAGACTTTTACTTTTTAATTAAATATTTGTTTTTTATTTACTAGTAATTAAGTATTAGTGCAAGTTATCTATATGCTTCGAAAATAATGATCTCGTTTAGATATTGCTAGTCCTAATTAAGGTTAGAATAAGGATATATTGCCAAGCGATATTGTGATCAGACTTTTGCAAAAACATTCTCAATGTTTCGAAAAACGTAGTATGTAGCAGTAAGATTACACTATGTACATATTTTGAACTTGTCTCAATGTACATACGCTTAAACTATAGTTGTAGTGTAGTTTGTAGATACATTGGTTTATTTTTCTATTGTCATTTAAGGTTCATTTAAGCACCCTACAATATCAAGTAGGTATATTGTCGTTTCTGTGTCTTTATTAAGGCCATTTGCAATTATAACAAGAACCAGTTTGGATTCGATCTCACTATTTGATCCGATTCATATTTGGGTGCAAGAGTAGACTTACTTTATCATCATTCTAGTCTATAACTAAATTGTAGTGAAACAAAACACTGCATTAGTTCTAAGTCGTAGAGAATAGATGTCGTAGATAGAACTACGTAAATAATCTTACCTACATCAGTATTATCAGTGTGCCTACCATGAGTTTACGTTAGGTGTGCTCGCTAACGACTGCGTAAAAAAATGACATTTAAATGTATGACATATTGTGCAGCGCCATTAGCGGCTACTTTCAAGAAATAAAATCTTCATAGAATTTTTTGACGTATTCGCTAGCGAGCTCACCTAACGTAAACTCATGGTAGGCACACAGTTAGTAAGCTTATGTAAGTATCGAATTGTAACATAAATGTTTAACCCAGGAGTCAAACGTACCTGCCTTTCGTAGCCGTTTCAATTATTCGTAAGCTCACATTTTGCGGTGTAGTAATTGTAGCGTAATTTCGGATTTTCCTGCTCATCGAAAATTTATAAATGAATTGACGTTCGTTTTAAAACGGCTGTGAGCGAAAATATTTTGGTGGAGCTCCTTCACGCTTGAGCGGGCGAAATAATAATATATTGGTCGGCGTTTATATCGATCGGCGGACTTACTGCCCTGCACATCCAACATATCGCCGGCTCACATATTTTGATGGCACAATAAACTTGTAGGGCGCGGGAGATCAACCGCGGCAAGAATGCCCATTGTGAGCGATTTAGACAAAGGTAGATGATAGGCGAATAACGCTGAATAATAGGATATTAGTGTCTCTGAATAGAGAATAATACTCTTATATGCTTGCTTTTATAGAGGAGCAAAAAGTCATAGCATTCTCTTCGCGTCAATATTCCTTTCATTGACTTGTAACCTAGTCATTTTTCCCTCAAATAAGATTTCCTTGATTTCTGTAAATGTAACGGTATTGGTGCAATTATGTATGTAATTAATTAATAATTTAAGTAATTGTATTTTTGACTACATTATTTTTTGTATCGATTATAGTTAGGACGTAATGTAAGTAAGTTAAAGGGTCAGAACACAGACGTCCAGTATCGCACTCCCTCCAGTGTTTACACACATCATTTTGTACAAAATTACGAGTATTATAACGTCTCCTATTCGGCTACTTAGTGCTAAGTAACTAGAAATCTTTTTAGCCTTTGCATACGTGTACTCTTGCGAGCCCAGTTTTAGAACTTTGATAATGCCTATTCATGAAATCATATGAACCCAGTAACCCACCCCATTCATCGCTCGTGTAATTTTCTTTGGGGCACTTGTACAATTTGCAAAGAAAAGTGTGAAATTGTTACAACGTGTTTTATTATATGACTCTCTTTGTACAGAAGAATCTTTCAGATCAATATGTACCTAATTCTAAACATTATCCCAAAAGTGCTTAAAGTTACGGAGTTATGTAATGCCATGCCGTATAACTTCATTCATACAATTTCTTCTTGGATGACAAACTACAATGAGTACATTTTTAAATTGAATACAATAAGGATAACTCTATAAGCCTGTATAATAGAGAACTTTCTTTTTATAATTCATACGGCACATTACGCCACTAAATTATTTAATATTCACAGTGCATTAGTGAATGGATAACGCTTGAATTAAATAAGTTTATATAAATGGTTGCATAAGAATAGATGGGTTATTTTTGTTTTTCCTGTATCTGGGACATATATTTAATATTTTATAAATCTTTTAAACAATAGTTTATAATATTTAGTAATATAATATTTCATGTAGACAATTTTCTTTCTCGGCTAACTGATCGTCTAGTTGTATCTATAAAATTTCGTGATACTTATTAGATGCAACAATAGGTTTTGCTTTTATTTTTCGTGTTTTTGTATAAACAACTTATTTGTGTAAAGAAAATAAAGTTTCCAGAAAAGCTCTAATATTTTTGGGTTTGTCTGTGTTAACATCATCTAGCTCTAAAAACTTATTTATTAAACATTAAAAGTACTTTCATCAAAGTATTATCGTAATGCAAGTGCCAAAGACAATTTAGGGAGCTTTTATTGTAAGTTTCAATTATGTTAAGTGTAAATAGAAAACGCTTCAATATTGATGTTGTCGTTCGTATATCGAGATAACTCAAATAAATTGTATAAAATATATCTTTGTTTCATTTTCCCATGATTTAAAATGATTTGAAAACGTGACATAAGGAATGGTATCAATAACGTTACTTACAAATAAAGTTTTTAATCGCAAGTAGTGGAGCTTACACTAAATTATTATTTAACAGAAAAGATTATTTTTAAAAAAGTATTTAAGAGAAAAGATTATTTTTTACATCAAAGAATCTATACCATTTCAAACTATAAACGAAAGTTTATAATATGTAGGTACTACACCATCATATCTTGTAGCTAGTAATTCCTGGCGAATTAAACATCATTGCAAAATTGAAAGCCACTGGATGACGAATAGCTTAAGAACCAATTGACATTCCCAATGGACTTATAATTGAACAAGACTGTTAAGTCCGTTACTGTATGGTCCTGTAGGGATCCGCAGGTTGAACTGATGAAAGTCTGAGATAATATACTGTTACATACTATCTTTTCTATAATTCTACCCAAAAGTAGCTAAATTACCTACAGAGGAAGTATCTACTCGTACATAATTTAGAATACATACCTACAATCACACATAGGTATTGGATATTGATATTACTTTAATAAGCAAGGTGGAAATCCTTCATCTATACTAGTCTTTACTTCTATACTAATATTATAAATGCGAAAGTAGGTAACTCTGTCTGTCTGTCTGTCTGTCTCTCTTTCACGCCTAAACCACTGAACCGATTTTGATGAAATTTGGCACAGAGATAGTTTGAGTCCCGGGAAAGGACATTAGATAGTTTTTATCCCGGTTTTTGAAACAGGGAAGCGCGCGATAAAGTTTTTCTGTGACAGACAAAATTCCTCGCGGGCGGAAAGCTAGTCTTTTCATAAATGGACAAAAGTAAAATAACCTGAAAATTAGAAATTCTTGGAAAATTTAATTACAGACCGCCACACTACTAATTACTAATTTAAACCCATATTTGGTACTTATTACAAAACCATATGCTGTGTCCCACACAGAATATTCCGAGCAGAACCCTAACAATGAAGAGTCCGCACCGCGCAGTCTATAAAGCGGCCGAGTGCGCTGAGTTCCTTATTGTGCGGCAGAAGCGGCTCACATTACCTGCCGCCACAAATTACACAACTATATTATTACAAGCATTATTCAGTACTAAGCTGACCGCCTCCCACAATGGTCTTCAAGAACAAAGTAGTAATTATAACCGGAGCCAGTTCAGGCATCGGCGCCGCGTGTGCTGTAGTTTTCGCGAAATCATCAGCGAAACTCGTCCTTGTTGGAAGAAATTTCGACAACCTCACGAAAACGGCAAACATGTGCAAAAAATTCGGACTCCACCCCTTTGTGCTCGTTGCTGACGTAAATATTGAAGATGATTTAAAGAAGATTGTTGATGAAACTGTGCAGCATTTTGGAAGAATTGATGTACTTGTGAACAATGCTGGGTTCACAATACTTAAAGAAATAAAAGACGGTGTAGACGCTTTCGACAGCGTTATGCGAACAAATCTCAGGGCTCCATACCTGCTGACGTCCCTAGCGTTGCCTTACTTGATCAAAACTAAAGGAAACGTGGTGAATATATCTAGCATCCTCGCATATAGACCATTAGCAACCATGACTGCTTACTGCATGTCGAAAGCTGCATTGGATATGTTCACGAAGTGTGCTGCAATAGAATTCGGACCACATGGTGTTCGAGTGAATTCTGTGAATCCAGGACCAGTGAAGACCCAGATATTCAAATCTGCTGGTCTCAACGAGGAAGCTGTTGAAATGTTTTTCTCGAATATGGAGCAGTCTGCCCCTTTACAAAAGGTTGCATACGGTGAAGATGTAGCGGAGGTCGTGCTGTTCCTAGCTAGTGATAAAGCGTCTTGTGTTACTGGAAGCTGTTATCAAATCGATTGTGGACTAAGCATCAAACAGACCTAATTATATGGTATAAGAATTCACAAGTATTTGGAGTACAATAGAAGGCATGGACCAATTAACACAACAACAAAAGCAAAGTGCCAGCAATTCTAAGAAATAAAAATAATTTTGGTGAATTTACTCGAGCACATCAAGAAATGTTCTGAGCACGAAATAAAATAAACCGTTCGTATCTAGCTTGTTTTTGTTTCCAAGTACCCAGGGGTGTGTATTTGTTACGGTGCACAGTGATATCTTTGTTGGACGCGATAATTATGTTTGTGACAAGGGCTGAACAAAAGCGGCGTGATATTAAAGTATGTTAAACCGCAGCCTCGGAGTGAGCGCCTCACGCAGACAAAGGGCGCGGATATTGCCAGATAAACGCAACTCCTTACAATTTCAACGGCGCTCGTTTAGATCTCCGACAAACTCCTTCTCCCCACTAAATTCCACTTCTTTTCAGGCCCTTAATTGTGGTAATATATTCAGTTATCTGGAGCTCCTAATCCTTCCCCAGGTGCGTCGCTAATTCCCTGTTATCTTGCGTTAATTTCCCTCGGATAATCTTGTAAATTGATTGTACTCCCCACCGAGTCGCGGCAGATTTCGTTTAAAATTCGGTTGTTTTGAATAAACACCTTTGCTTTTCTGTTTTATTTTTGAGTAGAATGGTGATTCATCTTTTGAATTGTAGAAGTTAAGTAGGTACGGTGTATTTTACTTATTAATCTTTGTACTTAATAAACTGAATGGAATGCTCGATAGAAGCACCCATTCGAGAGTGACTTACAATTAGTTGCATGTTACCTGTGATTAATACGATTCCTTAATTTATACAGGGTGTCGTACCCAGCTATCGGCTCTAACCACAGCTTTCAATTACACGACAGCACTCCCACGTTTATTGCTTTTTCTTCCCTAATTCTCTTTACTTAGCGAGATGTTCGTAATTATCGCTATATGAGCGCACTCGTTTATTTTCGTGAGAGCTGTAAGAGTTTATTTCTCGTACTTAATTTCGCCGCGTGTTCACTAGCTAATAATAATAAAATAATACGTGTAACGAGAGGATAATGTTTTCGGTAAAGTTTATTATGGATTATCTTGCATTAGGGTACTTAAGGACGTTATACCAGTCGCTGGGACATAAACGTTAGTGAAATAGAATAACATCCTTATGACATACACACATAGGTACATAGGTAGGTACGCCACACAGAAATAAATTAGTAGCTGAACTTCTATTGTCCTAAAATAACTTTGTTTATCTATATCTTCTATCTTCTATATATAAATAAAAATGAATTGTTGTTCGTTAGTCTGATTAAAACTCGCGAACGGCTGGGCCGATTGAGCTGATTTTGGTTTTAAAATGTTTGTCGTAGTCCAGGGTGGGTCTAAACGGTGAGCAAATAAGGAAAAATTGCGATGCCCTATTTATTGCCTTTAAGGCGGAACAGAGTTCGCGGGGTCAGCTAGTGAGGAATATAATTCTAGGCGTATTTGTAGTGTACTCAATACTTTTTTTTTATAGAATTCCAAGATCTATTTTCAAGCACTTAAATTATTTACAGTCCTTGGCTATACATAAATTTGTAATCACTGAGTAGTAGTAGAAAATGGGTTTTCCATACATTTATTTAAGTTATTCACGTCACTAAGTATTAGAGATCGGCGATAGGGTGCAATGCTTAAAACTAGAAAACTACTTTTGAGTCTCTCAAACAGGCGGATTTTACTATTTATTTTTTCTCATAAATGTAACTGTTTTCCTGTAAATTTCCTACACGTACTAAATTCATAGCAATTAACGAAACGCATCCGCATTAGTATGAAGGCAGGACGTACTAAGTCTTGCGATAATTGAGACAATTCCGTTGTCTTTGCGCGATCGTGCGCGGCGCTCGTATAAAGTAGAACTAATAGCCTAAGTTAGGCAGACGCGCTCGCATGCACTAGCACGTGCAGGTATCGTAGTATTTCTGCCATTGCCTATGCCGTTCAGGCTAGATGAAGAGTAGGCGGAAGCGGGGCGGAAAATCGCCTAAAAAGATAATGAAAATAAACATAATCCTCCTTCTGGCACAGCCGGGTAACAAACGAAACAGATATTATTAGAATTATTATAATATCAATTTTATTATGAAAGTTCTATGGCTAAACGAGATCCAAATCTCCATTTGCTTCTTGTAAATAAGAGAGCATCGTGCTTCTCCAGCTAATACGAGTACATAGATATTCTCAAAAATTTAATGAATGCCTAAACAAAACCATGACCAATCATTTTGACATTCGCATTTTTAATGGTGAGTAATATGCCATAGAGACGGAACTTAACTTAAACATGAGATGTTTTAGTTAATTAGTTAAATATCAAAATTGCCTACAGGCATTAATTTTATTAGTTGGTGTCGTCTGACTCTAAGCACAGCTCTACAAGTGTGCTTTATAGTGTTCATCACATGACTTCCGCTCGCTCTTCCACTGTAACCGAGGCCTTAAGTTTACGATGTTATTAAACTCCATTAAACCGCTCAGAGTTCTCCCTCTCAATTCGCTAACGTGCTCTATTAATGTACGAATTGGACAATGTTTATGTACCAATAACAGTAAACCAAGAAAACGATTATTTATCGGTACTTATTCGACCATGTGTTTTATTGGCACAAACTCGCCTACAAAACTGGATAAGGCATGACAAAATATAATTATATTGCTTTTTCATATGAAGCTAAGATACACAATACTGCTCTATTATTACTTATTTATGTTATCTGTATATTATATAAATTAATAGCATAATATGTTGCTGACGTCAAAATCCGAGAACCACAGCAGGCCTACGTTTTTCAAATATTTGTTGAAGCGTCAGCGTCGTCAGAAACTTAACAGGTTTTAGTGAAAAATGATTGGAAATATTTCCCGGAAAAACGTAATTCGCAAAATATACACGGGGCATTGCTTCAGGCAATATCTAAATTTATGTCAACGATACAGTAACAGTAAACATGAAAGTGTGACATCTTCTGAAACAAGGAACTTCTCACATATTTTCACTGCTGAAGTCTTGAAATTAAATATCCGTCCCTACTCGGCAGCCTCCGGGACAGCAACAATAAACTGCAGCGGGACGCGTTATTGGACATCTCTCTTGCAGGACACGTCCCTCGCCTTACTCGTGGTAATCTCGAAGACTTGCCAGCTAAACACATTTGACCTTAAGGTTGGTGCAGACCACACACTATATTCAATAACGTAACTTATCGCAGACTAGTACCTATATTATACAAGGTGTAAGTAGTACAAACCAATTCATTAGATGGTTGGACATTTTCACTGCTCAATTTTTATAGTCACTAACGTCTCTACCAAAAAAACATTACACAAAACATAGGTTAGACAATGGAATGTAGTTGTAGAGATGTAAAAAACATCATAACTCGAACACCCTGTATTGTAAAAAGAAGGTTAGCAATGAATAAAAAAGTACTCGTATTACTTAAAAAATTACTTCATCACAGACAAACTTATGTTAAAATTACACGGTCATTACGTAAATTATCATTACCTAAGTACGTAATTAATAAATGTCTCTTTCTTTCTAAATTATTGACTATTAAGTTTGGATACAAAGGCTACCCAGCTTTATATTTCACACATGAAAAATAAAATATAATAACAACAACCGGGTAAACTTTCTGTTTTAGAAAACCCGGAAAATGGCACAAAAAATAACAGCTAATACTAAAATGTTACCTTTCTAAAAGGGGAAAGGGCGTGCCATGTTCACCGTTGTAAAAGTATTTACCAAAAAATGTTTACTTACAAAAATACCGGTATTTTTACTAGTGTTTTCCTACATTCGTCGGCCACCGCGTGCATCCAATATATTGCGCCTCTTAGGCCCGGGCGAACACTTCGTGGCTCTTGATCATTTCTCAAATTACAAATCCCACGTGCCATTTTGCACCCAATAACAAATGTTAATAAGGTAGACATTCGTAGAGCTAGCTCGTATTATTTATTTTGATAGAAAAGGACTGGGACAATCGAAGGCGGCTATTTAAGGGTCCTACCGATCACTTTATTTGTAATTTGTGCCGCACGTGTTTGGAATAAATATTTATAAAGGACGCTCTTCGGAGGAATTATTAGATATTAATTCACTATTTGGTAACCGCCCAGGCCACAAAAATTGCTCGTGTACGATCTAGGCTACTTATAATTAATTAAATAATGATTTAACGGAAAATAAGTACGTAAATCCTCTTTGACGTAGAGGATAATAATTGAAATTTTTGGATATATTGTTGAATTTTCTTTTCTCTGGATTCAATTCTCAAATAACACAACACCTAATAAATCTGTGTAATTGATTTAAATTTAAACATACGAGTCTACCATCTGGTATCTTCGATAATTGATAGAAACGAAACGTTCTTAACTGGAAAGACCTGGAAAGGAGAAATTAAGATTACCATCAATTACAACTAGCCATCACCGATGCCAATTGCCAATCCATAGTCCGAGTACTGGTAAAATTATCTTCCAAAATCCCGAAAACAATTCCGAAACAAGCGATTGAATCTTCAGTAACAGTTTGTTGTTCATCTTATTTACAAATCCAGACGCCTAGCCGGGCTTGGGGCGGGTAATAAAAAAGATCGCTGCAATCATATTTTATCGGAAAAGCCATTTTTCGCCGGATCCGGCATTTATGTGAAATGCCTCAATTTCCCTCCAGCTACATAAAATTGCTTGTTAACAATAACAGCACTACCTTCCCTATAAGGGATACGCCTACTGCCATACGTGAAATATGGTTTGGTATTCGATCGCATCATTTACAATTTTACTATAAATGCCCTCTACACTATTATGATTTGATTGTGATAATCCCAATTCCCATCCCATCACTCATTCGTCATAGTGAGTTTTTTAGAATCCATAAGCTAGAGCCACATAATCCTTCTCTTTAAAAAAAAATCAGTAGGAGCACAGGACACGAAGAGATATTTTTACTGGTGTGCTGTTTGATCTTATTTCTGTTTCCTACTAATATTATAAATGCGAAAGTTTGGATGTCTGGATATCTGGCTGTCTGGATGTTTGTTACTCTTTCACGCATAAACTACTGAACGGATTTTGTAGAAACTTTACAGTATTATTGTTTATAACCTAGAATAACATATAGGCTATAATTTATGACGATCTGTAACAAACGAAATTTCACGCGGGTGAAGCCGCGGGCAAAAGCTAGTAAACCATAATATTGGATACCCAGAATTCTGGTCATAGTTTATTCAGAACATGACATACTAAAAACTATAATACTAACGGATCGATGGACAGCACCGTATCGTCCTTGTAGAGGCAAGGTATAGTCCGCACTAATAGACTTCGGCAATTTTGCAATCAAGGCTAAATAACATTGATACGGAAATTTTTAAGACATTTGAAATAAAATGAAAATGTGTTGTGATCATTGAGACAGGTTCGATATCATTAACCTACATAGGTAGTAGTAGTCCTATAAAATCAATGTCAGCTATTACAACAAAGTCTAGAATGATGAAAGGAATATTTTTTTATTTTATAATGTAAGCTACAACTAAGAAAATAGTTTTGGGACACATTAAGAGCGGGGAAGGAATGGGAAGTTGAACTTTGTTTTAATCTGTATTGTGTAGTGTTTTGAAGATAGACACGAACATTTCAACGACAAATACTAAGCATACATTAAAAATGTCGCGCTTCGGTTTATTCCTCCAATATCCTCCAACAGGTAATCTACTACAACTTCTATGAGAATCGTTTTTTGTTTAAGTCAGAAATATATAGCCGAAAGTGGTTACTAAATGTACTTTATACGAAATTGCCGAAGTATATTTGGCGCAAACTACGTTCAGGTGTCCGTCTGTTTGCGATGTGACCCTACGGCCGCTCTCTGGGCAGCAGGGGACACCTACACCCTCGTAGGGGGAATTAAACGGCACTCGCCACGTACCTATACTATGATACTCTAATGATTTACCTAACATATTATCGGATGAGATGAGGGAATACTATTTGTTTGTTTACTGAAGTTCGAAGAAGAAGAATTTTAGAATAAGCTAGAATTGGCAATTAAAGATAAACATATCTAATAGCACAAAAGAATATTCAACATTGTGGAAAGCACAAATACAAAATACTTACTCTTAGTAGGTAGGTACGAAATAGAAATACCAAATTTTCTTGTTCAGTCGAACTCTATAAAATGTTCCTTTAATTAAATTTAAGCAAACCACAACACGGTTGTAAATTACGCAAAGGACTCTCCGTTGTCGCGCTCCACCGTAAAATTATCTCAAAAGGATTTGTCTGGCGAAATGTATCATAATATTCATAATATCATGGAAACGTGACCTCGAGCACCTACGAAATTACAACGCAAGCAATAATTCAATCAAACGCGGCTTAACTAGGCTCTCTCCGTGTTTACTAAACACGTACCCTTATCACGTGCCTGACGACCTTATCCTGCCCATACTAACGATATATTAATTGTGATGAACTCAACAAATCGAGAAATAACCTCAAACTGCCGCAAAACAAAGCGCAAAATTGAACGGTCACTGCCATTTCAGTGCAAGTAATGGTGAGATTTGGTTGTGCAGTCATGAAATCTTCGTTAGTTTTGCTCACAATGTGTTGTATCGCTCTCTGCAGGGACGAGGATAAAATAATGAAGTGTAAGTAGTGGAAAACAACACTTTTAAAGAGTGCTAACACAAGTTTCTCCGGGGGATCCTATCAGTGTAAGCTTAGCACCGAGTATAAGTTTCGTGATAGTATTGTGAGCTAGCTACCGCTCCCCTGGGAGCTATAATGGACCTGTGGACGTCTAGAAAAGAACTATGGAATAGTAGTGTCCGCAACTAGATTTAGAGCCCATTCGCCACTTAACGTCCATAAAAGAAAGATTCGAAAACGTTCAAGAAGCGTTATCGATGTGAGGGTTTTGTGAAATATTGTTACATCTTTAGAGGATTTCTTCGTACTTTTAGTTTGATAACAGCAAACTTGAGAAGCAGAATGATTTGTACCTACCTGTTATTGAAATAAAGAACCATGCCAAGCTATGGACCAAGTGCTGCACAGAATGAACCCATAGTGCAAAATAATCTGTAAACCGAAAATGTACAAAATATGTGGCAATATATTTAATAAATAGATGATATTTGTCTCTTTATTAGCTTCAATTGTTTTTCAGGCATCAAAGACTTCTTTGATAAATAAATAGATGGTCAAAATAAGTGACGCTATTTTGTTTCGACTTGCAACAAACTGCAAGCACATATTCTGGAATCGCACGACATTCATGTCCTTAACTTTCTACCCCTAACTTTTCAGCGTGCTACTGGCCCAACGAAGTATTCGAGCCGTGCTTCGGGGGGTGTGCTGAGGTGTCGTGCGACAATCCCCGCAACCACCTGCGGCCCTGCTACCCGTACTGCGAGGCGGGCTGCGTGTGCGAGGAGCCCTACGTGCGAGATGACCGCACGCACCAATGCGTGCTGCCTCAGGATTGCTCCCCGTTAGTATTTGCTGGATTCCAAAATACGATAGCATTGTAAATTAACATTTAGATGAGTTGGCGGACTCAAATATGTATTAAGACACTCGGGTGTCTTCTTTTTGGTGGATATCATAAGTATAGTTACAACAATGTAGAGTCGGATCAACTGTCCCAAGTTTCGACCGCACCAAAACTAAGGCTGAGTTGCACCACCTAACTTTAACTATGACGATAACCGGTGCTTTTTGTATGGAGTTCGACAGATTTTTGACGTTTGTCAAAGTTAAAGTAAGATGGTACAACCCAGCCTAACATTCTACCGTAGTACCGTACATAATGTAAACATACAAATTAAGTTTACACATAAAAGAGTTTTATAAGAAGTTGTGGCTGCCTACATGTCCAGTAGGTACACCTACATTATTTGACTCCAAACCACTTTTATTCCAGAACACAAATGGGCATACCAGTTCCAAGTAAACGATCAGACAAGTCTCTTCCAAAATACGGTTCCCGTATCCAGAGGCCCCATTTGAAGCGTGATGACTTGCCAGCTGAGTTCGAGAAGGAGGATCTGCCTACCAACCACATGGATGACATGAAGAGACCTTCAGAAGTGTCAAGGATGGGGAACTACTTCAACATCGTGATCGCACCGCCCCCTATTAAAGCGCTGCAGCCAAGAAAGCTGCTTCAGAGCGACTCGTTCCGACCAGCCGCGAAAAGAATTTGAATTGTAATCCTGTATTTAAGTTTTATTTTTGATATTATGAATAAAGTTTTATAAAAAAAAAAGGACGATACTGCATTCTTTACTATACTTTATTAAAAATAATTACTAAAATACCTTTTTTTCGCCCTGATTTATTTAAATTGAAAATAAGAGTTAGTTCCTACAAGTACGTGGCTTACAATACAAAGATGTCAGGGTAAAATCAACCTAGGTACTCAAATGATAGAAGCTTAGCCAAAATGTGGTTTAAGTACCCTAAATAAGGTATCAAAGTGTCTTCAGTACAGAATGTCGAATTACTGATTCTAATTTTTTTTAATTACCAGTTTCAAATTAACAAAGCTGTTGTATATTCAAATCCGAGGCTAATTGCAGTTTAATTAAATTGTTTTATGTTATTGTTTCATTACAGAAACTAGTGTATGGTACACTAAACTTATACGGATAAGTAGGTCATGGTAATTGTTTGGTTATAATTACGTTTGCAAGTCCACGTTATTCTAAATCTTGATAGTCATGTTTGCTTACACTAGTCTAACTATATTTTGTGAAAGAAATAATAAAGTAAAGGTTGAATGCATTACTCTATTTGGAAGCAAGCATCAAACATCCTAGCGGTCGTGTTTTTTTTCCCAAACAACGCCGACTCTCTGATTAGAAGGCACTGATAGCTGACGTGAAACGGAATGGGAAAATCGGCCATTTTGAGATCACAAGGATAACAATGCGTAAATTGCTGTTACTCGCTCTTTTACTTTGTAAGTATTTCCATTTGAATGCTACTATTATTAAAATAGATCGATACTATTATTATTTGGATTCAGGCTCTGTATTCTGGTGTCCCATTATGGCCATCTTACCCCTTTTCCACTCTCCGTATTTGCAGCGTTTCTTAACGCGTTCATTGCCACTACGATTTTCATTATGTTTCTCTGGCCGCCTACATTTTATAAGGAACTCGCCAGGCGAGTAACCGGCACTGAACATGTGTTAAACTAATAATAAATTATTATATTGCAGATAACATCGTAGCTTTCGCAACGAGGTCCGGCAATTACGATTACGACGATCGCGATGTTGACAGCAACAAGAGACACTCTCTTATAGACGACAGGAGAAACTGGAGAAAAAAGATGCTCATTGGCCCAGGGGACATGGATCACAAGGACTATGATACAAGAAAGAGACACGACTACGATAACCCCAGATATTTCGATGAGCCAGAAACAAAGCTGTTCGGTGGAATCGAAAGACAGAGGGAGACAGACTTAGCAGGGTACAGAAAGCGCTTCGACGATATTGATAAAATGGGTGCCATGAAGAGTGGAGAACACGCATCGCCATATAATATGTAAAATGTTCTTCTTATTTTCAAGATAATCATAAAAGTACTGTTAATCATGTAAAAAACTGTTACTTTTTGTTTTTAGTGATGAAAAGAAAACGCCCATAACAATGAATTGCGACAGACAGCACGAACGGTAAATGTTTTAATAATTATATTCTAAATAAATTAAGTTTCTTAAAAATTTCAAGCATCATACTATGGCTGCTAAGACGTATGATGTTTGAAATTTTACTGTATGTAACATTCAATAAAAACAATATTGGGACTTGGGAGACAATAATTTTGCTATCGTTGACCACTTTACACACACACACACACCATTAAGAAGAACCATTCAGAGTTTGTGTTGTGAGTGCACTCCAGCGCTAGATGTGTGTCAAAGTCCCTCATGACGAAAGCGCCAGTTAGCCTGCTCTATGACAGTTATGATAAAAATTAAATTCTTTATTGGAATGTTCCAGATACGAATCGTGCTTCGCCGGCTGCGCGGCCATTAGCTGCGACAACCCGCGGGACCGGCTGCGGCCGTGCTACCCCTTCTGCGAGCCAGGATGCGTGTGCGTCCCACCCTATGTCCGGGATGACCGTACGCATAAGTGCGTCCTAGCTGACGAGTGCACGAAGTTAGTAGATTGGTAACACCAAGTATCGAAAAAACACTATCTCGTACTTACATATTGTACAGCTCATGACCCTATTTCGGATCAGACAGGGTTTATACAAGGTTTATACATAGTCTCCTACTATTTATTCAAAGCGTTACTGGCTACAGCCATACAGCCGTATATATTTCTGTGATTCCACATAAAATAAATACACATACGAGTAGGTTACTGAATACACAGTGGCTGTGTAACTTATGGGAATTCCAGCACCACTACTAATGTTTCTATTCCTATTTTCAAGCTTTGTCAGTTTTTGTTGTGCGAATTATTTTGCTTCTGCAAACGCATACATGCCAGCACTAAAATATTGTGTGAATACAATTTCATGCAATGTTAGAGCCAGCAGGAAAATTCCTGTTCACTTTATTATCACCATAAACGTTATTACTTTTTGCATACTCAAGCACATTATGAAATATTTGTTTACAGAGGCCTCAAAGGAATTCCGGACTTGGGCGATGATATGATATAGTCTGACGAAATAGTAAGCTTATTTTATTTATATCTGTAAGAAGAATGTTGTTGAATAAATATTATAGATGTATGTTTCATAAGACGTGTTTTAATCTTTCTCCATAAGTTACCTTTTTGTAAATCACCGACAACTCTTATGAAGTAAACAGACCAGGAAATACATAAACTATTACAAAGTTAGATTACAAACTAAAATGAAAATTAGACAGGGAGCGTCTTGACAAGACAAGATTTCACGTCCCCAAGGACTCTTCCTTCTTCCGGGCCAGACTTGGTGTCAACTCCGGTTACTAGATAGCAATTAAACGGTGTCAAATGGACGACAAGACTAAGTTATTGTAGTACTGTACTTGAAATGGAATGTAAATAGTAAAGTTAACATAGATTAATACAGTTAACTAAGTTATTTAAGAATAACACAAAGATAATTTCCCAGTGGCGCTATAAATCATTTTGAACACAAAGGCTCAATTTCCGGTTGAGTTTAATAAAACAATATTTTTAAGATTTCGGGCCAAAGTTTGATTTGCTTGCAAAATTGGCGATACAATATTAACAATGATTCGTAAATCGATATTTTCATCTATGACTAATCTAAAACTAATCAATTGGAAAACTAGCAGATGGCAAACGGAATGTACACAAAGTTAAAGCTGACTAGAATTTCAATGCATCCATTGTGCGATTGTGTTGCATATGGCAACAAAAAAATGAACAAAACCATTGTTCGCTCATTCCCTTTCTAAGTCGCACCATTACATTTTCAAAATACCTAGTCAGTGTTTTGTAAAATGTTCATATGATTACTGGTAAAATATAGTTTCTGAAAGTGCAGATTACTATGACGCGAACTCAACACGTCATCTCATTTGAGTTTGTTGATTGTGATATGTGATATTATGTGCTGCCTTATTTTCTTTGGTGTTTTTCTAGTTCCAATGTACCGGAGGGCTTTCTTTTTACTATTTCTATTGAGGGCAAAATGTAAAGCATCTGATGAAGCCGAACCATCTTACGGTAAGTTTAAAAGAAAATACCTACTGCACATTGAACTGAACCTTTAACTTTACAAGAAATTGTTTACAGAATGTGGCCGGCATGGCAGATTCGAATACTGTATCGATGGAATTCCTGGCTGCGTAGTTGGGTGTCATTGTCATCCAGGATATTACTTTGATACTGATTCCAAAATATGTGAACCAAAGTAAGTTTATTGAAGATATTATTTTATTAAGAATACTAAACTTGTGATTGATATGATCCTAATTTATCTGTTTGCAGCACAAAGCTAACCAATGATTACAGACGACACTATAGGTTAGAACCAACCCGGGCGCCAATGGTAACTTTCGGTCAATTAACTATCCCAACTCTTACGACAACCAACCCCATTGATGAAAAAGTTGACACTATAACTAAAGATACCGACGACCTTGGTGACTGGCTTTACAACCAGTTCTTTAAAACTATAGAAAATCAAGTCATTAACAGCACCGATGACGAAAAAATGACGAGAAGAAGTGGTAGTCAATTTCCTAAACCTAAAAGCTTGAGGCGTTCACGCAAAAGAAGCAGAAAGACGTCAAAGAGAAAAAAATCTAAGAAAAAAGGCCTAAAAAAGAAAATAATGAGGATTACTGAAGACGACAGTCTATTTGATTCAAGCTCTGACTCGAGTTCGGATGAAAGCAGTAGTTCTACAGAAAGTGAGAGTGATAGTTCAGATGACGAACATGGGCACAGGAAAATTCTACTTCTCAACAAAAAGCCAAAGCCTCCATTGCCTTCGTTTATTTTTTTGCCAAACACCGCCGTCAACACTCCATTTTATCCTCCTATAGGGTTACCCCCACCACCAGCTATCGTTCCTATGTATCCAATGGTACCGGTACCACCTGTTGACTATCAAGGTATAAACGAACATTTCTTAAAGTTATAATTTTCTATTCGAAATGCATAGACCACTTTATGATACTGTCAACTGATGTCACAGGACATGCAGACTGCAATGATGATAGCAAGACCACCACAACGACAACGACAACGACAACGACCACGGCAAGTAGTTCAGCAGACACCACGACAGACACAACCACTGCCGCCGCCACTCAAGACACTACAACTGATACAGTCCTGAGAGCCAGAGAATCGCCAGCGTAAGTTTTTTACTCTCGATCACTACAAAAATCGATAGTTCGGCTGCAAAAGATCTTAAAATATTTTATGCCTCATGTATGTTGGCACGAATAAAAAGAATCTTGAAGCCAACTTTGGCAACTTTAGCTCTACCCAAAACTGAAAATATTTCAAATAGTTTAGAACGAATTAATAAAGGACTTTTCCTTTTACAGACTGAGGAGCAGTAAACATGGGCATCGAAATAAAGTAAGTCATGAAATAAATATTCTTGGATATTATAGCCATAGGTAAACACAAAAAAAAGTAAAAACATGCATGTTTTAATAATAACTTAACATAATAATAATAACTTAATTTTTACAGCCATTGTACTATATTTTTTTCAGTTGCAACAATTCCGTGAAAAAATGAAAAGGCGAAATAAACCACCTTCCATGAATTTTCTTGATAACTATCCAGATCCAGAAACACCTTACGCTAATGATCCCGAAGCACCTCCAATACCGTTTGATTTTAGGTCTAAAGATATGTACGACCAAATACCTCCAATCGAAGATGTTGATTTTAAATACCTTTCTCAGCTTATACATAAAATTGACCTTAACAAAACCAAACCAGATTTACCATTACAACTCAGGCAACGAATGATGGATGCACCAAATCGTCCTTTCCGAAGAACTTATTCAGTGAATCCTCCAGCACATTACGATTTGACACAGAAATTGAGACCGGCATCAAAGGCCGACGAAGTCAATGATTCTTATTATAGTAATTTGGGCAAACAAATAGCTTCATTGATTAGAAAAGTGGACACAGATGGCGAACGCCGTATAAATATAGAAATAGAACAACAAAACCAAGATCCAATGCAAACAATTCTCAATGAAAATAGATATTCGCCGCGGTCTTATTGGGAAAGGTTTATACGCTCGCCTTTAAAACAGAGCTTTATGGATCGAAAAGAAATCAATAGGCACAGTAGTGAGAGTTTGTTTGATCTGGAAGATCAGGTGCGTATAGCAGCTGAAATCGAAAGAACTTTAAGTTTACAAGAGCTTGAAAATATAGCCAATATAATGCAAACAACTCAATCGAAAATCTCACAGAAATGTTCAAAGAATGTAACTCCAGTGTCAAGTAGTCGTGGTTATAATATCAATTTACTGCCTCGATTCAATAGAAGAGCTAATGCTGTCAAAGATGTGGAAAGTAAGAAGACGATTGCCGAGGAAAAAACGAGCAGTAATATGGTTACGACCCTTCATCGCAACATTTATCCGACACATATTTCACAAAACGCGATAATGTACAATAACAAAAATGAAACACAGCAGAATCTCACCATTCTTGCCGAGAGCAAAAACAAACTAAATTTTCTTAGCAATATATTAAAATTGAAAGCTCCTCATAAGACGCCTCTTCATCACCAAGTCTCAAGGATCGTGCATAAGAACATTACGAACCCTAAAATGATACCAGCACAACAAATTGTGAAATACCAATTAAACCCAATGATGATAAACTACAAAAGCTTGAAATACATTGGCAATAATCATAATAAACAATATCAGGTGCAACAATCATTCATGCCGTTTTTCTCTAAGCCAACTGCGAAGTATATTGGCAGAAACAGCAAACCTTCGTATTTCCACCATGAATTACATCATTTTGACTATTTCGAATAACGTGGTCTAGTTATAGGTATTTATGTAGTGTACAAAGTATGTATTAAATATTATGATCGAAAAGTTACGATGTTATTATTAAAATATTTTAAACGATTTTGCATAATCCTCCGTATGTTTACGACACACAAACTGGCTTCATACGACGAGCTGCAGTGCACCGAGCACCATAGGATTACGAGATAGTGGATGTCTGCCACAAAGGCGAACATTTTAAAGCGGATTGGTATACATTGCGGTTCAAACGTAGAGTCTGCGAATTCGGGTCTGTTTTAGCGAGTAATGTAATCGTGGTAGGTCAATATTGACTCGCATTTGATGGATTGGGATAAGCGGTAATCCTGTTGAGTTCTTCACAGACAATTTAATTCCCATTTCATAACGTACGTGGGAAGTTCCCGTGCGCTTTGTGGCGGGCGCGGGCGGCGCAGTGCGGCGGGCTGCGGCGCGTGCATCAGCAAGTTAAGCCGAGCGCGATGCAATCGCAGCGATCGACTTGCAACTATTTCTATTACGGCCTTAATCCTTGTAAGTGCAGTCTCAGGCATTAATAGCGCCAGCTTTACGAACAGTAATACCTGTTGGCGAGATCGTAAATTATATATTTGCGGTGTATCGCGGCAGTAAGCCGAATATACTGCGGCAATAACCGTTACGGTGGAGAGGTCACATTTAGTTAAGGTTCAAATGTATGTTTAATTCAAATTGGACTATAAATTGTCGTAAGTTACGGTAGTAAAAAATGATATCAAAAGTCTTTATCGAAATGATGAAAACGCAGTAAACTTTTATGTCACTCTATTTATTTTCATAATCACTTTTCCCTTAACCAACAGATTGTTGTAACAGGTTTTTTAACACAACTGCTTCAGATTTTATTTTCAACGACAAGATCTTCCATCTGTCATTTTGTCACAGAAGCCTGAAGTCTGTTTCTGTAGCCGTGAAAAGTTTCGCCACATCCATGTGATTTGATTTGAGTAGGTCTCCAAAGGAAAGTGTCGTTCTATTCTTATTCAGGAGGTAAGCTAGCTGACAATCGTCAGCTTTTATCAGATTTACTTGATGGGAGTGACATGCTGACACTATATTCAACGGAAGTAGGTAGTTTATTCGTTGTAAACCGCTAGGTCTGTACTGTATACTTAAATTACACACTTTCTTTTATAATGTAACTTTACACTGTAAAAGTCTGAAATAATGCCCGTTTTTAAAATACGAGTGGAAGGCATATTATCATGCAACCATTTCATCCATTAGACTAGAATCATCAGCCTGTGTCCATTTCCTAGGAAATGGACTGGTACTCGTAGCTACTATTTTTTTAAATATATTTTACTTTGCTTTGATTATATTGCTATCTTAGTTGTCTGGTCTATTTTAAGACTTCCTGATTGGTGTCATAGCCGGAACAATTTGAAGAAAATCTTCTTGTCCAGTTTCCCGTTTTCTTTTTATAGTGCCAGTAAACGCTACAGAAGCGTGGCGGACTATAAAAGCAGTGGGTAGTGTGAGTCCCGGAGTCCCGGAGTCCCGGGGAGCCAATTTCCATGAGCCATTCGCTTTGATTCACCTCAATCGAACTTCGAACGCTGCTCGTTCGATGTGACAGCACATGGAACTAGATTATTGGAATGGAAGTCGTCTTTTGTTTTTTGTTTCGAATTGAAATATTTCTTTCTTATTTTTTTTTTAATTATAATTGGCCAGTCCTTGCGTCGGTTAATGCATGTTAACCTACATCTTACCAATTTCCAACGAATTTTTAATCATCTATTTTGATCACAATAATGCAATACTATTTAACTATTTATAATCCTAAAAAAATACAGTTCCACATCAAAACATTGCTGGTTTAATATTAGTTTTATTGATTCAACCTCATTCTCATTCATAATTTTACTAAATATAAATAATTCGATCTGCTAATAATGCAAACATTCACACATTAACCAAACTAATTACTTCTCTGCTCCGTTGGTGTTTTAGTAAATTATCGTCATTATAAAGTCCTATCTAGAAACTGTTTTAAGTATCCGCAGGAGCATAGTCCAAAGACGACAAGGAAAAGCGACATCGGAATACCAAGTAAATATTATGGCTCCTGCCATGTGCAAAGAAAACAGATTATAAGTAAAGTAGTTACGTGATTTAAAGTAAAGTAGGTAAGAAAAAATATTTACTTTTATTTTGCTTTTAATGGTTAGTTTTTAAACTGCCAGATACCTAATAAATCTGATGTTTTATGTAAAGATACTTACTTAAAAGAGCCATATAAAAATACCAACATTAGAATATTAGCTCCTAGAAACAATCCATAATATTATCAAAGCCGGCTGTTTCCTTCTCGGAAATCATTATATTTGGGAATTAATTGAATTAGAATGAGAAGTATAAACCGCATTAAACTCTGGCCGCGACCCCACTTGACCCTCGAACAAGAGGTCTTAATAAAACCTCTTCAAAAGTCCCACTGTAATTCCAATTTTAAAGGCAAGTTGATTTAGCAGTCTAATAATAATGGAGAGAATTAAATCAATATTTCAATATGTTAATGGTTCATTTTAATCGAATTTTTAGTTTTAATTAATTGATTGAACTCTTGGTCGTTGTGGAAATCTGTGGGGTAAGTCTTTGGCCGGTTTTAGATTGAAACAAAACTCTCTTGAATGCAGAAAAAAGCTCCCTATATACCTTCCTACTTCAAAACTAAATATGAGTAATTTTGTGTGTGTAATATTTTATTTTTTATAATATTAAATTTCCATAGGTATAGGTATCTTACTTTATCTATTAACTTCGACACGACACGTGCTTAATTAATCCGCATTACTTATTGTATTTCTGATCCTCACGTCATGCACAAGTAAACCCAAAAGAAAGCTGATAAATTCAATTTCCCACAGCGGGCGCTTATGACGGCCAGACGAGGCTGACGAGGCCGACGAGGCCTAGCTGTTACCAAATAAAAACTCGCCGTCCTTTTGTTGTTTCAATCAGGCCCGCGATACTCACAGATATTGAGGTTCCCGCAAATAGCTCTATATTTATTTGCCGGGCTCCGGCAGACATCCAATTTTCATATTTCCCACGGAGGCCCGCTCCGCGGCGATATCTACTAAATCTCTTCCTGATATTTTTATGGATTGAAATTGATTTACAGCACCTGATACGGAAAATAAAAACGTAATTTCACGATTTGAATGTTACCCGTTAAAATGTTTATGTTTATCGAACGTGAAATCGCGTTTGCTAATTTGGCAAAACACTTATTATGTACCTATATTTTAAAAGCTGTAATATCATCCGTGTAATGTAGACCGAGTCTAGCTTTAGATATAGAATGTAGGCATAGACTGATGAAGATGTTTTCATAATACCCTACAATCTATACATTTTAGGTTTGCGTTATAAATACGTAGTAGTAAATGGAACCCCTGCGCAGCCATTTACGTTCAAGATGTCAGCTTACCGTAAACTTTTATTATAGCGAGACCTGAGTTACTCGGATAGGTGCTTTTCCCACAAACTCATCCAATTTCTACCCGCAAAAAAACAAAAAGGAGTTCTAGTTGTTCCGAATGTTTGTTGAACTGTTTTGGTTTCGCGGAATGGTCCCGGCGAACACTTGGGAGAAAGCTGCTTACTGCGTGCGGCGGAGTGGCCCAATATGCCGATGAGAGGACTCCTCGCTCAGCAGTAACGAGTTAGGGCTGCCACACGTATAGAAAAGTCATTTCATTTTGCAATCAGTGTGAAAATATCTAGTTATAGAGCTAGAGATAACTTTGTGACGAGGTAAGACTGATTCCCCCAATAACGAGAGCATCCTGCTTCTGCCAGCTATCTTCGTCAGATCTTCTTTAGATCTTTAGATTACGTGGTTTTAAAAGGAATCATTGTCAAGGCGATAAAGTGATAAATGGCCTAATTATGCAAAGAAAACAATCCTAACACATTTTTTTAGCATCGTCATCGTAAGTTATTAAAAAAGATGACAAAATTGGATTCTGATCTAATTGAATACCTGTAAATAATTAACAAGAATTCTCGCAATTCGTCGATGTTCCAC